TGGTATTCGTGGCTTAGCAAAGTTTTATGTAAACACTTGTGAAATAATCAGAACCATTAATTATGGAGCAGACTTTTCGTTCACATCTGAACCTTTCCTAACTTGTCCGAGTAATAAGTATTTTTAACAAATCATGCAGTTTTCATTTATATGACTATAAGCGAAAGAAATAAGAGTTAGAGAGAGAAAGGGATAGAGATGGAGATCGAAAGCCATTCTCACTCTACTGGTGTACAAGGTTCACTTTCTCTTGAATCTGAACCCAAGAAACCTGCAGGTGGATGGAGAGCCGTTAAGTACATTCTTGGTAAATCCAATGCTATAAAACTCGATTCAATTATCGACCCAGACTAGATAAAACTATGAATATATTTTGTCTCGAGCTGAATTGTTTGTGTTTCGTGCTTTTTTGTTTTCAGGAAATGAATCGTTTGAGAAATTGGCATCGATGAGCCTTGTGGCAAACATCACAGTGTATCTACGTACGAAATACAACTTGAATGGCATACTTCTTGTTAATGTGGTTACGATATGGTCTGGTAGTTCCAATCTCTCGTCGATAGTCGGTGCCATAATCTCCGATGTTTGTCTGGGAAGATTTCTCACTCTCCTCATTGGCACCATTTGCTCGCTATTGGTAACATCATTTAGCACATTTGGGAGTTATTTATAATCGATTTAAATTATAAATAAGTAGAAATGAGTGATCAATACATGAGTAGTACTCGTGGATACCATGAAATATATAGATAAAAGGTGATTTGACTGAGTATAAACAAATTAAATTTCTTTATCTTTTAGATGAATTAGAATTCCTCATTTTCATATTTATACTGATTATATACCATAAATCCCTATACATAGAATTACATAACATAAATATTGCATGTTTGGTATGTAATATTGTGACTGGTGTGAACAATATAATGAACAAGATTTTAGCTTTTGTTGTCCATAGTAGTGCCCAATGCTATCCAATCTTCCGAGCCTACTTTTTTATGTTCTTCCAAGAAATAATAGAATTTCACAAATACTAGAGGCACATCGATTAGGGAACTCACTCTTCTGTAAAGTTCATTAATATCCAAGCTCTTAGAAAATAAGATAAAAGGGTGGTCATGGATCACTCTATAGGCCGTCCAGGCATCCATAGTCCATCAACACCTTGTAGTACCACTAGGACAAAACCTGCCAATGATGTATGATATGTGGGTGTTGTAAAGTTTTTACAGTATTATTATAGAAGTTTCCATTGCAATGTCAGGGCATGGTTGGTATGACCTTAACAGCAAGTATAACTCAACTAAGGCCTCCAGAATGCAATGAGCAATCTCCATGCAAACAGCCCCAAAAATGGCAGCTTGGTTTCCTATTTACCGCTCTCGGAATGATTGCAGTTGGAGCAGGGTGCATTAGGCCATGCAACATTGCTTTTGGGGCTGATCAATTTGATACAAAAACTGAGAAAGGAAGAGCCCAGCTTGAAAGCTTCTTCAATTGGTGGTATTTGTTATTCACCGTAGCCCTCGTGATAGCCCTAACCGGGGTCGTCTACATTCAAACGAATATCAGCTGGATAATAGGTTTCACTATCCCAACAGCTTGTCTTGCCATTTCAATCACGATTTTCTTGATTGGTCAACATACTTACATATACAAGAAGACTCGGGGAAGTGTTTTTATAGACATGGCAAAGGTAGTTGCAGCTTCTTTTAGGAAACGAAAGATAAACCTCAGATCAGGTGATAATCAGCACTCTTTCTATGACCCTGTGCAAGAACAGGAAACGGAAATAGCTAACCTGACGAAACTGAAAAGGTTTAACTGCCTTGACAAGGCTGCTGTGATAACAGATCCAGGGGAATTGGATGCACAAGGTATGCCTAAAAATAGTTGGAAATTGTGCAGTGTACAACAGGTACAACAATTGAAGTGTTTGGTTGGAATTATACCAGTATGGTTTTCAGGCATTGGCTGTTTCCTAGTCATGGACCAGCAAAGCACATTTGGAGTCCTGCAAGCAATTCAAATGAACAGGTCAGTTGGGAATCATTTCAAAATTCCACCTGCTTGGTTGTCCATAACATCGATGATTGCACTCTCTATCTGGATATACATTTACGAAGGAATATACATCCCCAATGCTAAGAAAATATTGAAAAGGCGTTCAAGGTTAATGCTGCAGCACAGGATTGGAATCGGGATTGTTATGTCAATCCTCTGCATGGTGGTAGCTGGAGTTGTTGAAAAGAGGCGCCGAGAACTAGCTATAAGGCAAGGTTCTTTCACCTCCCCAGTTCATGTTTTAGTCCTCATGCCTCAGTTTATCCTATCTGGCCTTACAGAAGCTTTTTCTGCTGTTGCTATAATGGAATTTGTCACAGTACAAATGCCAGAAAGCATGAGAAGTGTTGCGGGTTCAATTTTTTTTCTCAGCCTGTCAATTGCAAGCTACCTAAGTGCCCTCATTGTCAATGTAATACACACTGTAACTGGACGAAACAGAAAATCACCATGGCTTGGGGGACATGATCTTAACAAGAACAGGCTCGATTATTACTATTACATTATTGCTACTCTAGGAGCCATCAACTTGATATATTTCACTTTCTTTGCAAGCAGTTATGTGCCTTGTCACAAAGCTGTAAAAGTTGCAGAAGAATCGCAGTTACAGAACTCAGCCAATCAATTAGAGGCTAGAGATTTTCCACCGAATGAGATTATGCAGGACGAGGAAAGAGGATTAGACGCAAGGACAACATAAATAGAGAAACTGCTTTGCTTTGCCGAGAGATTGTTTCTTTGCGGTTGGCTTTGAGTAATCTGTAAATACCACTCGTGGTGGTGGATTGCTTAATTTGCTTCAGAAGAATGCAATTCAATATCACACAAATTCTTGCTATAAATCATAACTATGAAAATATATGTTGCAAGCATAGATTATTTTGGAAAAGCTGTGGGATGTCTCTTCCCCGGTATAACTAATTTTTGTTCATGAATGATGAGAAACGTTTGAAGTTGGTTGCCCCTCATTGAATTTGATTGAGGAAAGATTGATAATCCAATGTTAATTGATGAAAGGTCGTGACACTAAACAAATTGATCCAGATTAGGACTCTGATAAATTAAATAGAGTCAAGGATTAAACGGTTAAAATAGGGTCAAACCATAGGTCAAAAATAATTAAATAAATAAATGCACCCAGATTGCCCAAAAGACATTGTAGATTGCAACAAAGCTAACAACCTGATGATGAGCAGTGAGATCAATCGTATGAAAGGTGACGAGAATAAGAGATAAGTACTCTTAAAATCATATTGATAATGGGGTAGTTGGAAAAGAAAAATCATATGCAACATGATTGAGGAAATGAAATAACAGTACTACGCCCAATCTGGACAAGAATCAAAGTATATTGAACTAAAATTTTCGCAACGTAGTATATTCATATTGCAACATTTTATCGAACACTTGGTATGCAAAAATTGTAGGTAATGCAAACACAAAAAGAATAACAGCACTGTGTTCCTATTTACTGAAGTCAACAAGGATATGGGGAATATGATATACAGACGGACCAAATATACATAAAAAAAAAAATAATAATAAAAAAATAAAATAAAAAGGAACATGAAGCTTGCCTGAGGAGCTCGATATGGCAGAGACTGAAATTAGTATTCTAGAGGGTAATGTGAAGAAAGTTGTGACAGTGATTGCATTTTGGCCATGGCTTTGAGACATGGGGAATTTCTATAGAACTCTTTTCCAGTTTCTCAAATGGCGGGTAAGGTAAATTTCAAGTGCCGTCACTGAACTTTCAACGACATCTCAATTAGATCCTAAACTTTAATGTATCTCAGTTAGATTACTGAACTTCAGTTTAGTTTTAATTAGGTCACTTAACTTCAATTTTGATATCAAATTTCACCACTTTATCACGTTTCATTTCCCAAATTGATGACAAAGGCATAAGTGACAGGCTGACATCAATGGCACAAGGGATCTTCCACGTAATCACTATGTGGCATGTGAATTTTACCACTATTACTGATCATAAAAGTGTTAATATTTTTTAAGGAAAAATACATATTTTAACCTTTTTAATATAAAGAGTAAAGACAACTGCATAACTCACATTTCACAATTTTTAAATCTAGAATACCATTCAGTGATCACGTAAATATTCAATTAAAATGATTGTTACCTACTATGCGATTTTCATCAATTTAAAGGACAATAAATGATGGAATGTGATATTGATATATTGAAACTAAATTGAAGTTCACAAATTAATAATCAANTTCATCAATTTAAAGGACAATAAATGATGGAATGTGATATTGATATATTGAAACTAAATTGAAGTTCACAAATTAATAATCAAGTGACCTAATTAAAGTTTAAAGGATGATAGATGACAAATATTAATAATAAGATAAAAGGAGGAGTATATTTTTATTTTTTTGAAAAAAAGGGGGCATGTGGACTAATTTTCCATGTGATTTTCCCTTCAATCCAGGCCCAATTAGATTCACTGGTACTATCATTGAGTTTTTCATGGATCATAATACTAAAGAACTACCAAAAAGCCATGAAAATTGGCAGTTCTTTTAAAGCTACCTCATTTGCAGGATAAAAATGGATTTACGAACAAGAATTTAAGGATATGCAAAAGAAGGGACTTCAAGAATACGAAGAAAATGAGAAAACTACTGGCTACTTCAAATTTGTTTTCATTTTTAATTTCTGCAAGGTCCTTAAAGAAATGAATACCAATTCTCTTTTTCCCACCCAAACTCATTCTGTAGGTCAAGTAAAACAAGAAAGGTGCAAGGATTTATACTAAAAGCTGTAAAACGAGCCAGATCAGACAGAAACACAGCTAGAGCCTAGGTGATCCAGCCACACCTTTGTACCTACCATAAAAAGTTGAACCCCAACCTTAAGGGTCCCTCACCGTCCCGCCCCTGGAGCATCGTGAGAGAGGTTAATCGCTGGATGTATCCCAGTAGGTCAGAAAACAAGAGTTGTTTGTACACTCGTACCCACAAAGAGTCTCAATCCATGTTTTAGGAATCGAACCCTCACACTACGGCTGTCAGCAAGGTTGAGTATATCTCACCCTTGTCCTTTGTACCTACCATGTTTCAACACATTTTGACAAGTTCATTGCCACCACCAAGTCCAGAATGTCCTAAAAAAGCTCCATCTGGGAATTTTTACGTCTAAGAGAGTGTAATCCTGCTACAAAATACCATCTAAATCACAAATCAGCATCAAAATGTAATTTAATTCGTCGATCTCTAGGTAAAACCAATCCTATATAGTTTCCAATATTTTGAAAACTGATGGTGGATAAAAATTTGCAGCAACAATTTCTACTATTCACATACTTCTATGGTTATCATGTACCGTATTTAGAGATGGCAATTTGAACCATTAAAATTGAAAATCGCGATTAATCGAACCGAATGAAGCAAAAAAAATCGAACCGATGGTGCAATGGGACGGATATGGTATTTGATTTTAATGAACCGGTTGATGGCGGTGCGGGTATGGTATTTACGCTGTCGAACCGAAATCGAACCGATTACCCGCTTAAAAAAAACAATTCTTTTATTAGGGATGACAAGGTTTAGTGAGAAGGAAGTTGACGAAGATGTACATTTTTTTATTTAAATCTTTGTTCAAACCATTTTAGATTAGATAGTATCATTGTATTCTCTACTTACATTTTTTATTTAGAGCCTATTTGGGAGTGATTTTGAGAATTGATTTTTTGACCGTTAGGAGAAAAGTGGGGTCCACTTGTGAGAGAAGAAGTCAAATATGACGGCTGGAATAATGAAATAACAGTCAAAAAATTAATTTTTTGGGTGAAAAAATTGCTCCCAAACAGGGCCTTACTATATAGGAATCAATTTTGAGTGCTGACCTATGCTAATAAGAGTTGTGGGGAAGAATGAAGATTGAATATGAGTTAAGGTTGAAACTTTTGAATTATTGAGCATGAATCAAGTAACTATAATGCAAAAGAATCAAGAATGAAGGAAAAGTTTAGTGTTGTTATATTCATAATATTGTTTGTTAAATTTGTATTTTGCAATTGGAATTTGGGATAATGTTTGCATTTTCGTTTGAAATATTATGTTTTCGTTTTCATTGACTCTCTTTTCATAAATTGTTTTATATCAATTTGATGGGTGAACCTATAAAAAATAATTTATTTTCGTGGTTATTAACTGAACCGAACCGAGATATGAATCGAACCGAACCGATTTGCGTGGTTATGGTATGACAAAAAATTTGACGGTTCGGTGATGATTTTGGCCGAACCAAACCGTTTCCATCCCTAACCCTATTTATACCTATGAGACTCGAACCATGGTTATATGCTTCCAGAATTTTATAATGCTGAAAAGTCGTGTTTTATGAAACCGTAACTTTATTAAATTGACACTTTCAACTGGATGGAGACACGTGGCTTAACCTGGACTGTTGGATTGGATTTGGAACCTTCTATTATTGGTGCCGTTCACTTGGCACAACCCTTACTCAATTAATTGTGAGAGAAAAAACCTCTCATCTGGTTAGGGTTTCGTCAGTTCTAATTCTTTGGCTCAAATCTTTGATTTGAGGCCTTAAACGTGTAAATCTTAGTGATCTGGTTAGATATTCTGAGTGATTATTTGTAAAATCCTATGTTCTCCTGAGTTGTGATGTTTTGAGAGGGATGCAGTGAAGATTCATTGTGATTCTTCGAAGGTGTTGGGTCGATCTTGAGAGATAAGTGTCTTTGATTTATCTCTTTGTATTTGTTGAGCATTTGTAACCCTTCGTTGCCAATTTTGGCCATTATAGTGCAATCAAGCGTAATCCAACTAGTTGGATGCTCAACGGGGGATGTCGGCGTTTGAAACGGTCGTCGAATCTCCGGAGCTTAGGTCGAAAGAATCTTGTGTCGAATCTTTAATTTTCTGCACTGCTTTACTTTAGGCTGTTTTGATTATCTTGCTTCTCAGTTTAATATTGTGTGACCTTTGCCTTTCAACACCCAAAACCTACATTATCTACCTTTGCTAATATTGTCATGCCTAAAACTAGAGAGACGTTATTTCGAGCTCCCTCCCAAAATTCTCCACAGTTCATGTTTCTGCATTTCAGTGAGCTGTGTAGGGTACCAGACATCAATTTGGATTATCAGATTTCCCTTTTTCCCAAGATCTTTGGAAATCAACATTTCTTCATTAGGGACAACTACCTCATGTCCAGGTTTGATGATCTCTAATACGAGGATCGTGATATTCCTTGCATCCAGTGTTACCAGTTTAAAAGTTTTTCTTGTAAGAGATTCAAGAAGTGATACCTCTTACTTCACCACCAAATCGTTACCGTCCCTTGTGATGTAGCATAGGTTGAGAAATTTAGAACCTGTGAAAGTTGAAGAAAACAGTAGAAGAAGCAAAATACATAAAAGCTAGAGAAGAAGGAGAGAGGGGAAGAGAAGAGAAGAGAAGGGACAGTGGGAAAGAGGGAGAGGCCCGCAACACTCAAACTTCATTTCATTTCCATCATTAGTCTGTCTCCCATGCAAAGGCTGCATACATATATATAACATACAAAACAAAGAGATTGGGCTTGGGCCAACCCAAAGCAAAATAAAAAAGGTCTGGGCTAATACAAAAACATAATACAAGCCCAAAAACATAATACAAGCCCAAATAAAATACTAAACTAAATATTCCAAAGTAGATGTCCTCATCAACTCTCCGGAGAAAACTCAACTCTGTCGAGAGAATAACTCACAAAAGGTTGCATTTAGTTGCCCAACCATAAGTTGAGTGGTTGGACAGACCTTTTTCGACGTCCATATACACGTGTGATAGGTGGTCTGGGCAATGGAAGATCATGCTGACTCTTATAAAGCTCCAACAAGTAAGGATCAAGCTGCTGGAGTGTCTCTCTAGGGATCCATGTACAATTAGAGTTAGGTCAGCCTACCCAACGAACAAGAAAGCGCTGAATTTCTCCATCATTAGTCAACATAATCTGTCGATCTAAAATAGTATCAATTTTTTCTTTGGGTATTGTGATAGGGGGTGTTGAAGTAGGGGTAGCAACAGGTTCGAGTTGAGGTTCAACAAATGAGGGTTGAAAATGATCATCGGAGGGTTTAAAATGGCCTTTATAAGCAACTAAATCCTCAACATTGAAAGTAGAGTGGTAGCCAAAATGTGATGGAAGATCAAAGACATACATATTTGGACCAACACGCTTTAAAATTTTAAAAGGACCAGTGCTACGGGCTTGCAATTTGGAAGCAGATCCAGATGGATGCTATTCCGATCTAATTCGAATCATTACATAATGCCCAATATTAAATTCAACATGTCGTTTATGCAAATCAGCTCGAAATTTATATGATACATTACTTGCCTCTAGTTGTTTATTGATCTCAATATGCAAGTCATAAAGATGTTGTACAAATGCCTCTGCTGACACTAACACATTAGCATGTGGGGACACAGGGATAAGGTCTAAAGGCTTGCAAGGTTTATAACCATGAACAACTTCAAAAGGACTCATGCGTAAAGACCGATTCACAAAACTGTTATATGCAATTTGGGCTATCGGA